AGTGGCAGATGGAGAGGGAGCCCAGTGCCGGGCTCAATCTCAGGACCCTGGGATCAGGACTTGAGCCCAAGGCAGATGCTTAACCAACTGAGCCACCCAGGCGCCCCAGGGAACATGCTTCCCAAGAGAGCTCAGAGCACACTCATTTTCAGCAGGTTCTTCCCAAGTCTGTCTAATTACAGTCTGGGTTACTACGAGGCTCTGCTGAGAGAGGCCCCTCACTCCCAGCCCTGGTGCTGAATATGGACAACAGTTTCCCTGTGGCCTTTGCCTTTTTTCAGAGAGGGAGAGAGCATCGTTTTTTCCCTGTGGCCATCTGTCTTGGTGTTAGTCTTCAGAAGGGTGGTCTGGACTTGGAGACACTACAGCTCGGGTGGAACTGGACCCACAGAGGAGTCCCTGGGGACCAGATTGACCTATTGAGGGAAATGATGTGATTTTTTCTGTCTTTAGGCTGGTATCATAGAAGAAATGTTAGAGGATACTTTTGAAAGCATGGATGATCAGGAAGAAATGGAAGAAGCAGCAGAAATGGAAATTGACAAAATTCTTTTTGAAATCACAGCAGGTATAGCCTTGAGATTCTTCCTCTTTTTCCCCTCCTTCTATGGTCATTCTCCTTGCAGTCACTAAGTTATCTAGTAGCTTTTTCTTTAGGACTCTCTTATGTCTACACTTTTTAGATTATAAACTTAGTATTTGAAAAAGAAGCACAATATCCATAACCATTTTTTAAAAACGCCAAGATTTTTAAAAAATTCCTAGAGTTTTCAAATGGTAAGGAGAAACAGTGCTTTCACAACACTGCCATTGGGAGCTTAAGTTGGTAAGACTTTCTTGAAAGCAGTTTGTCAGTAGCTGTCAAAAGCCCTGGATCTAACAAATTGATTTCCAGGAGTTTATTCTGTATTTAAGGATGTGAATGAAAGATTTAAATTCAAGGACGTCTATAGGAGCATTATTTATCATACTGAAAACTTTGAAACCAGTTAAGTGCCTAATAATGGAGTATTGGTTAAACTGTATTGTATCTGTTTGAATGGAATACTTTATAGCTGTGGTAATGCAGAAATACATTCATTGACATGGAAAGATGTTCACAGTACAATGTGTGAGAACAGTCTTGTTTATTATGATACATATTCTGGTGCGAAAAACAGGCCTATAGAAGAAGTCTGGAAAGGGAATAAACAAAAATAGTAGTTATCTCTGAAAGATTGTTAATGAGGTTTTAAACTTAATTTTTACTTCTGGATTTTGGGACTTAGGTTTAATAAAAAATTGGTGACATTTAATTTTTATGTTTTAAAATTATTTCTTTCTTTTTGAAATTGTTGGGAGAAAGACTAGTTGCTCCAGGAAGGCATTTTTGTGGAGGTTTAGAAACCATTTAGCTTTACTGAGAGACATTTAACATCTTCATGAATCTTGAAAATTAAGTATTTGGTGTTTAGGATTTTCAACCAAGAGTGTCAGAACCAAAATTCTAAAACTCAGAATCCTCAGTTATTGTAACCTTGGTCTCCTGACAAGCTGGTGTTTGCATGTTTGTCATAGTGAGCAAAACCCCATGCAAACAGCTCGTTCATTGCCCCTTTTCTGTTTCTTGTTGGCCTCGTCCAGGCATGAAAGGCAGAGAGGATGAGGGACCACTTTAAAAGGATACTTGGTTAATTGATTTGCTATTTCTCTTCAGGGGCTTTGGGCAAAGCACCTAGTAAAGTGACCGACGCCCTTCCAGAGCCGGAACCTCCAGGAGCCATGGCAGCATCAGAAGACGAGGAGGAGGAGGAGGCCCTGGAGGCCATGCAGTCCCGGCTGGCCACACTCCGCAGCTAGGGGCCGCCCCGCCGGGCCCTCGCACTCCTTCCCTGCCCGCCTGCCAGGAGCCGGCACACTCCTCTGAAGCGGCCACCATTTTATGTGTCTCTTGCACTACACCTCTGAACAAGCACTGCATTCTGAGAAGGTTCTCTGCTCATATCTCTCCATCTTTGCCGAGGTTTTGGGATCTCAACGGGTTTGTCCTTGAGAGGTGGGGTTATAAATGCATCATTTTCAGGGGTATACGTAGAAGTATCTTTTGGGGGGCGCAAAGGAATTGGTCTTCTCGCAGTGCATCATCTTCAGGAATATAGACAGAAGTTTCTTTTGGAGGAAAGGGCAAAGGAATCAGTCTCTCCAGAAGCACTTCTGAAATTAGAGTTGATTGCCTGAATGTTGAGAACTCTATCTTTTTTGTCCCTAAAACACTATATAAAGTGGATTTTAATAAATTTCTGCTTTAACACTTGGTCTCATCGTAGATTGTCATGTGCAGTCAATTTTCAAGGTGTTTGCAGTCTCAAATTATATGTTGACCTTGGAAAGAAAGGTCTTTGTTTACATTCAAAAGCATGTAGAAAGCGACATGCATGTCCAGCACAGGAAATATCAGAAAAGATCTGAGAAGACACCCCACCCCCCCCGCAAAAAAAAAAAGCCAGTCGTACGGGATGTGGGAACTCAGCACAAGAGGCTTCTGCTCCAAGGATGCTGCTCCCCAGCCTTCACAGATGTGGTGTGGTGCCACACTTCTGCTTTCTGTCATCTGTTTAATCAAAAGGATCCTCGAGAAGGGTGACTCCTTGTCCTGTTGGCTGGATATGTGTACTGTGTCCTGATAGGTGTGTGTATGTAGTTTTCATTGCCCTCCCTCCCAATGCAAGCTGGACCCAGAACAGAGAGCTGTGAGAGCAGGATTCTCTCATTCTCTAATCGCTTTTCTCTGCTGTTGCTGCTACTGTTCAGCTCATTTGGGTAAATACCAAGGAGCACAGTTGCTGGATCACTGGTAAAACTGTCTGCTTTTCTAAGAAACTGCCAAACTGGCTTCCAAAGTGGCTGTACCGTTTTGCTTTCCCACCAGCCATGACTTAGTTTCTAATCCTCACATCCTCGGGAGTAGTTGATGTTATCAGTGTTTTGGATTTTGACCATTCTAACAGGTGTGTAGTAGTATCTCACTGTTGTTTTAATTTGCAATTCCCTATGCAAATTATGATGCCGGAACATTTTTTCATATGCTTTTTTTTGTCATCTGTGAATCTTTCCTGGTGAGGTGTTTAGGCCTTTTGCCCGTTTTTAATTGAGTGGTTCATTTTCTTATTGTTGAGTTTGAAGAGTTCTTTGAATACTTTGTTAACACTCCTTTCTCACATGTGTCTTTTATTATGAATATTTTCTCCCACCTGTGGCTTGTCTTCTCACTCCTTCATACTGTCTTTCACAGAGCAGTTTCAAATTTAAATGAAGTCCAGCTTCCCAATGATTTCTTTCATGATCATGCCTTTGGTGTTAAATCTTAAGTCATGGTCATACCCATGGTCACCTAGATTTTCTTCTATGTTCTCTTCGGGGAATTTTGTGTTTTACATTTAGGTTTTGACCTATTTTGATTTAATTCTTGTGAAGTGTGTAAGGTCTGTGCATATATTCTTTTTTTTGCATGTGGGATGTCCAGTTCCAGCATGATTTGCTGAAAAGACCATCTTTGCTGCATTGTATTGTCCTTACTCCTTTTTCAAAGATCAAAAGATCAGTTGACTGTACTTATGTGGGCCTGTTTCAGGCTCTCGGTTCTGTTCCATTGATGTGTCTGCCTCCTTTCACCAATACCACCCTGTCTTAATTGCTGTACCTTTATAGTAAGTCTTGAAGTCAGATAGCATCGGTCCCTCAACCTTGTTCTTCAGTATTGTGTTGGCTATTCTGGGTCTTTTGCCTCTTCATATAAATTTTAGAATTCACTTGTCCGTATCCACAAACTAACTTGCTGTGATTTCGATTGGGATTGCTTTGAATCTATAAATCAACCTGAGATGAACAGACATATTGGCAGGATATAGTTTCACAAGTGCATTTATCTGGCTAGTTTATTCACAGAATGATAATGGAATTAAGGGATGCTCATAATCCCTGAACATTTTTATCTTATGTGGATAATCAAAATTTATTCAGGTGGATGGATGGACAGAATATTTATAGTCACTCTTCCAACCATTCAAATAAAATGATCTAAATGTAGGGTTGGTTTGTTTTCATTGTTTGAAGAAGTCCTGTTTCTCCATTCCTACTTTCAGGTTAAGGAAAAAGCATTGTTGGCTTATTACCATGTCATATAGTCCATTTTCCCTCCATATTCTTTTGGGCATTGTTGGAAACAAGGAGAGTAAAATACTGCCCTGGCCCTGGAAGGTCCACAGTCTGGGAAAGGAAATAATGGTGTAAATACCTGCACTAAAGTTCTCCTCTGTCCCCAGCCTCTCAACATAGGGCCAGCACCAGCTAGCACCCTCTCCACCCCAACTACAGACTGAATCTACTTGGTGCCCTAAAAAAAACAATAATACTGTTAAGAGTACTCAAAATAGTATCTCATACCACCAACCCATTTGTTTTGTTTTATTTGGAAATATAGCTTATCTAAAAATAATCATCCAGCTTGTGGTGATCACCCACCATTTCCCTCTAGACGGGTTGTAACCTCCCTTTCCTCATCCCTCCCCACTCTCCCCATATTGCCATGCCTTCCTGAGCACTTACCACTTGTATAGCTCACATGACTTTAGGCCTCCTTGTCATATATTTCCTTGTCTGTCTCAGAACTTCTTAAAAGAAGGGGTTATGATTCATATTTATTCCTAAATAGTAGTAGCCATGCCTGCCTCTGACCTCTTCCTGCCACCCAACCCCTAGCTGAAGAACTGGGACTTTTCTTGTCCTACTGTAGTGATACAGATGCTCTTCAAATGCTGAAGATCTTATACGAAATCTTATACGAAATAAATGGGAAATTTTGGGTTCAGATAAAAAGCAGGTTTCTATACAACTTTTCAGAGCCTTTCATATGCTTTTCCCAAATTTATTCAAAACAGGTTTTTTTTTTTTGAGAGGCAAGAAACATTTCTTTAGTCAATGAAACCTTTTCAGAAGTGCAGATCTAAACCACAGTAGGAAAATAACTTTTTAAGCTAATGAATTTCTCTTCACGTATTAATTATAGTTTTAAAAAAATATAGAGTAACATCAGCAAAATGGTGTAGATAGCTCTGTATACCCATTCATCCAGAGGAACATTTTAAGAAGTACCAGAAACTTTGGGAACCAGGTTTGTCAGAACTGGAAAGCAAGAGTTTACCTCAACCAGTGAACACTGTATTAAGAAAAAAGCAACTTAAAAACAGTATGAAAGCCTTGTGGCATTTTACTTGCCCTTGCCAAATCCCTCTCCCAGCTTGGCTTGGGAGAGTCTTGAAGATAGGAGCTCACTTTCTCACTATAGGACTCTGGTCCCTAGTTCCAGTGAATGAGAGTATATATACTTAAGTCACAAATTACCTGTTTGTCTGAAACCTGTGGGCCATCATGAAGGGCTAACACAAGGTGCTCATCTCTGGTTTGCCTATCTTGTAACTTACTCAGGGAGGAAAAGCAGCAAGCACTGCTTGAAAACATGTTAAACAATTTTTAAAAAGTGAAACCTTCACCTGGGGTAACATGTTACAGTTGAGACATAAAATAGCTTGCTTAAAACCTAGGAGGAAAAGCCAAGGAGAGCATTTCTTTGGGATATTAAGACATTCAAAAGCATGTAGAAAGCGACATGCATGTCCAGCGCAGGAAATATCAGAAAAGATCTGAGAAGACCCCAAACTTTCACCACTGGCTGATCTATAGGCTTGGTGCAAACAGGAACTGAAGGCTGAGACAGAACTGTCAATAATCTGGCTGTTAAGCATGTCCAAGCACAGGGCAAGTCCATAAAGACTGGGACAGGTGTCTTTGTCTTTTAAGGTCCTGGTGTTCAAAAAGATCTCTGTCAAAATACTGACTGACCATAGCAAAGCATTCAGTTAAGAAATACAAACCCTGGGGAAGGGGGAGACCGTGATTTCCGGAATTATTCTGGAATATTCAGATGTCCAGTTTTCAATAATAAAAATCACAAAGCATACAAAGAAAATGGAAAGTATGGCCCCTTCAAAAGAAAAAATTAATAGAAACCATCCTCAAGCCAGACATTGCACTTCCTAGACAAAAACTTTAAACCAACTGCCTTAAATACACTCCAAAGGGTTAAAAAAAAAAAAAAAGAAAGAAAAGAAACCAGTAAGACAATGAATTAAGACGTTATTTAAAAGGAAACTACATGAAATTCTGGACCTGAAGAGTACAAAAATTAAAGTGCAGAAATACATTAGAGGTGTTCAACAGCTGATTTGAGTAGGCAGAAGAAAGAACTGGAGAACCTGATGATAGAAGAGCTGAAATCCAGTTTGAGAAGGAAAAAGAAAAGTGAACAGCCTGAAGGACTTGTGAGACCCTCAAGCTCACCAACATATGCATTATGGGAGTTCTAAGAAAGAGACTAATGAACAGAAACAGTATTTAAAGAAATAATGGCTAAAAACATTTCATATCTGAAATATATGAATCTACACATCCAAGAAATCTCGACAAATTCCAAACAGAATTAAGGGATCCACACTAAGACACATAGTCAAGTTGTAGAACAGTAGAGACAATGAATAATGAAAGCAGAAGAGAATCAACTCTTCATGTACAAGGGGAGCCTCAGGGAGATTACCTAATTTTTCATCAGAAACCATGGAAGTCAGAGGCACTGAGATGACCTATTTAAGGTTCTGAAAGAAAAAAACTGTAAATGAATTCTATACCCAGCAAAATTATCCTTCCAGAATGAAGGATAAATTAAGGTATTCCCTAATAACAGGAGTCCTTCAGGCTGAAATGAAAAAAAAAAAGACAATAGACAATAACTTAAAGCCAAATGAATAAAAAACATCATAAAGACAACTTCATTGAAAAAATTTGTAATTTTTTTTATATGAGTTCAAGCCAAATACATACAAAATAATTATAAATCCATGTTAATGAGCATACAATGTATAGAGATGTAAGCTGTGACAATAACGATATAAAGAGGGGCAGAGATATATAAAAGGAGTTTTTGGATACTACTTAAATGTAATTGGTATTATTCAAATTAGATTGTTATAAGATGTAATCTCAAAAATAATTACGAAGAATATACCTAGTACAGAACACAGGAATAAAAATGGAACAGTACAAGATTTAGATAAGTACAAAAAAAAGGAATTGAACTACATATACAGAAAACAGCTAAACAGGTTAAGTCCTTTATGAGTAATTAAATATAAATGGGTGAAATTCTCCAACTAAAAGGGAGATTGGGAGAACAGGTAAAAAACATCTATATGCTAACTCATTTTAGATACAGATATAAAAGGTCGAAAGTAAAAAATGGAGAGGGTGCCAAGGAAGATGTTCAAGTAGGACACCTCTAAGCCCGCACTGTCCCACATTTACCATTATATTATCATTCACTTCCAAGTCAATAAACCAGAGTGTGATTTGAAGATTGGCAGAACAAACTCCACAAGTAAAGGTAGGAAAGAAGCCCCTCAGAAAGGTTAGGAAGAGCAGAAAATGGTGGTTGGGAGCTTCCCACAGCAGGGAGCAAGCTGTGGTTAACAGGAGAAAGTGCCAAGGAGCCCACACAGGGAAAATGAATCCCCATAATGTCTGGCCTTGAAAACCAGAGAGGCTGAGTTCTGTGAGTTGGTACTACCAGTGTGACTTAGGGCCGTGAACTTTAAAAAATTCAGCCAACTCAGCCCTGGGCAAGCTGGGAGAGTGAGTAACAGCCAGGGGTCCCAGTCCAGTGAAAGAGAATGGCCTGACAAGAAGCAATGTAGACGTGATAGCCTGCACAATGGGAGTGAAGTCTTTTATACTGATTTCAGAGTGTGTTCTATCAGACAAAACAAATGTCAACAAAGCCTGTAATAAGAGACTAAAGGACACTATATAATACTAAAGGGGACAATCCAACAAAAAGATGTAACAATTGTAAATATATATAGGCACCCAACATGGGAGCACCCAAATACATAAAACAGTTAATAACAAAGGACCTAATCAAGAGTAATACAATAATAGTATGGGACTTTAACACCCCACTTACATCAATGGATAGATCATCCAAACAAAATGGAAACTGGCTTTGAATGAAACACTGGACCAGATGGAACTAACACATATATTCTGGCCATTTCTACCCTAAAAAAAAGCAGAGTACACATTCTTTTCAAGTGTACACAGAATAGTCTCCAGAACAGATCACCTGTTAGGCCACAAAACAAGCCTCAACAAATTGAAAAAAGATCAAAGTCATACGATGCATCTTTTCTAACCACAATGATATGAAATTAGAAATCAACCCCCCCCCCAAAAAAAAAAATCTGGAAAGAGCACAAATACATGGAGTTTAACTAACATGCTACTAAACAATAATGGGTTAATCAAGAAATCAAAGAGATCATGGGGTGCCTGGGTGGCTCAGTGGGTTAAAGCCTCTGCCTTCGGCTCAGGTCATGATCCCGGGGTCCTGGGATCGAGCCCCACATCGGGCTCTCTGCTTAGCGGGGAGCCGGCTTCCTTTTCTCTCTCTCTGCCTGCTTCTCTGCCTACTTGTGATCTCCATCTGTCAAGTAAATAAATTAAAAAATCTTAAAAAAAAAAAAAAGAAATCAAAGAGATCAAAAACTACAGGGACACAAAAATGAAAACACAATGGTCCAAAACCTTTGGGATGCAGCAAAACTGATTTTAAGATGGAAGTTTATAGCAATATAGGCCTAATAAGAAGAACCAGAAAAAGCTCAAATAACCTAACCTTACACCCAAAGGACCTAGAAAAAGAGCAAACACCCAAAACCAGCAGAAAGAATAACAAACATTTGAGCAGAAATAAGTGATACAGAAACAAACAACAACAAAACAAACAAAAGGTCAATAAAACCAGAAGCTGGTTCTTTGAAAAGATCAACAAAATGACAAACCTCTAGCCAGACTCATTGAGAGAGAGAAAGAGAGGACTCAAATGAACAAAATCACCAATGAAAGAGGAGAAATAACCAACACTACAGAAATACAAACAGTTCTAAGAGAATATTATAAAAAACTATATGCCAACAAATCAGACAACCTTGAAGAAATGGACAAATTCCTACAAACCTGTAACTTCTCCACCTGAAACAGGAAGAAAGAAAATTTGAACAGACCTATTATCAGTAATGAAATTGAATCAGTAATCAAAAAACTCCACAAACAAAAGGCCAGGTAGGACTAGACAGCTTCACAGGTAAATTCTACCAAACATTTAAAGAAAAGTTAATACCTATTCTACTCAAACTATTCCAGAAAACAGAAGAAGGAACACTTTCAAATTCATTCAGAGGCAAGTATCACCCTGATATGAAAAACAGATAAAGACACCACAAAAAAAGGAGAACTACAGGCCAATATCCCTGATGAACATGGGATGCAAAAATTCTCAATATATGCAAAACAAACAAAAACAAATACATTAAAAAAAAATACACCACGATCAAGTGGGATTTATTCCCAGGATGCAAGAATAGTTCAATGTTTGCAAATCAATCGATGTGATACATTACATCATTAAGAAGATAAAAACCGGGGCGCCTGGGTGGCTTAGTGGGTTAAGCCTCTGCCTTCAGTGCAGGTCATGATCTCAGGGTCCTGGAATCGAGCCCCGCATCAGGATCTCTGCTTAGCAGGGATCCTGCTTCCCCCCTCTCTCTGCCTGCCTCTCTGCCTACTTGTGATCTCTCTGTCAAACAAATAAAATCTTAAAAAAAAAAAAGATAAAAACCATAATGATCATCTCAATAAATGCAGAAAAATGCATTTGTCAAAGTACAACATCCATTGATGACAAAAGCCTTCAACTAAAGTAGGTTTAGAACATACCTCAATGTAATAAAGTCTGCATATGAAAAATCCACATCAAACATCATACTCAGCAGGGAAAAACTGAGGGTTTTCACCCCAAGGTCCAGAACAAGTCAAAGATCTCTACTCTCACCACTTTTACTCAACATAGTGCTTGAAGTCCTAGCCACAGCAATTAGAGAACAAAAAGAAAAGGCATCAAAATTGGTAAGGAAGAAGTAAAACTTTCACTATTTGTAGATGACATATATCGAAAACCCTAAAAATTTCCACACACAGAAATAGAACTGATAATACAATCAACATACAGAGGGGTGCCTGGGTGGCTCAGTCATTAAGCATCTGCCTTTGGCTCAGGTCATGATCCCAGCATCCTGGGATCGAGCCCCGCATCGAGTTCCCTGCTCACCAGGAAACCTGCTTCTCCCTCTTCCACTTCCCCTGCTTGTGTTCCCTCTCTAGTTGCCTGTCAAATAAATATATAAAATCTTAAAAAAAAAAAAAAGAAATGTTGCATTTCTGTAACAATGAAGCTGAAAGAAATTAAGAAAACAAGCCCATTTACAGTTACACCAAAAATAGTAAGATACCTAGGAGTAAACCTAACCAAAGAGGTGAAATACCTGAACTCTGAAAACTATAAACCATTGATGAAAGAAACTAAATGACACAAAGAAATGGAAAGATATTCAATGCTCACAGATTGGAAGAACAAATATTGTTAAAATATCTATACTACCAGAAGCAACCTACAGCTTTAATGCAATCCCTATCAAAATACCAACAGCATTTTTCACAGACCTAGAACTAGGGAAAAAAATACTAAAATTATATGGAACAAAAGACCCCAAATAGCCAAAGCAGTTTTGAAAAAGAAAAGCAGAGCTGGAGGTATCACAATTCCGACTTCAAGTTATATATTACAAAGCTGCAGTAATCCAAACAGGATGGTACTGACATAAAAACACACACAGAGATCAATGGAACTGAACAGAAAACCCAGAAATAAACTCATAATTACATGGTCAATTAATCTTTAACAAAGCAGGAAAGAATATCAAATGGGAAAAAGTCTCTTCAACAAATGGTGTTGGGGAAACTGGATAGCTAAATGCAAAACAATGAAACCGGACCACTCTCTTTCATCATACACAAAAATAAACTCAAAATGGATTAAAGTAGTAACATGAAACCATAAAAATCCTAGAAGAGAGAACAGAGAGTAATATCTCTGACATTGGACATAGCAACATTTTTTTAGATAAATGTCCTAAGGCAAGGGAAATAAAAGTAAAAAAAAATAAACTATTGGAATTACGTAAAAATAAAAACCTCCTGTACATAAACAAAGTGTCTGCTTTATGAAGGAAACAACAAAAAAGGCAACCTACTGAATGGGAGAAGATATTTGCAAATAACAAATCAGATAAAAGTATCCAAAATACTTGAAGACCTTATACAACTCAACACCTACAAAACAAATAATCCAAATAAAAAATGGGAAGATGTGAACAGAAATTTCTCCACAGAAGATATCCAGATGATGGTTAACAGACACCTGAAAAGATGCTCAATATCACTCATCATCAGGGAAATGCAATCAAAACTACGAATTATCACTCACACCTGTCAGAATGTCTAAAATCAAAAACACAAAAAACAAGTGTTGGTGAGGATGTAGAGAAAAAGAAACCCTCGTGCACGGTTGGTGGGAACGCAAACTGGTGCATCTACTCCATAAAACAGTATGGAGGTTCCTCAGAAAGTTAAATAAAAATAGGACTACCACATGATCCAGTAATTGCACCACTGGGTATTTATCCAAAAAATACAAAAACACTAATTCAAAAAGATAACATGCCTCCATGATTATAGCAGCATTATTTATAATATCAAATAATGGAAGCAGCCCAAGTGGCATATCTTTATCCATTCATCTTATTGATGAACATGTACACACACACACAAAAAGGAATATTATTCAGCCATAAAAAGGAATAAAATCTTGCCATTTGCAATGATATGGACAGAGCCTAAAGGGTATAATGCTAAGCAAAATAAGTCAGTGAGAGGAAGACAAATACCATATGATTTCATTCACATGTGGAATTTATGAAACAAAAAAATGAAAGGAAAAAAAAGAGACAAGCCAAGAAATAGACTCTTAGCTATAGAGAACTGATGGTTACCAGGATGGGTAAAACAGGTGATGGAGACTAAGGAGTACACTTATGATGAGCACTGGGTGATGGATGGAATTGTTGGGTCACTATACTGTACACCTGAAATGAATACAACACTGTATATTAAATATAGTGGAATAAAAGCAAAAAACTCAGTGGTTAAAACAATACAAATGTTAAAAAAAAGGCAAAAAGATAAACCATATGAATAGTATTCAAATGTAATACACTATGGGGTGTCTATATTCTTATCAGACCGAAATAGATTTTAAGATGGGATGCCTGGCTGGCTCAGTTGGTAGAGCATGTGACTCTTGATCTTGGGGTTGTGAGAGCTCAACCCCCAAGCTGGGAATAGAGCTTACATTAAAAACAAAACAAAACAAAAAACAACAACAACAAAAAAACGATAAAAAAACCAACTGATTAAAAGGATGAAAAATGAGTAAGTACATAATATATGGTGTCATGAAAACCAGACAGCCATAGGCAAAAGAATCAAACTGGACCACTATCTTACACCATACCCAAAAATTAACTCAAAATGGATTAAAGATTTGAACATAAGACCAGAAGCCATAAAATGTTTAGAAGATGAACATAGGTCGTAAGCCACTTGGCGTAAGTCTTGGCGAGGATTTTTTTTTTTTTATCTGACACCAAAAGTAAAAGGAACAAATGGAAAAATAAATAAAACAAGTAATGAGGGACTTTAAAAAAAAAAACCTTGCTATTGATTTCACTCAGCACACTTAGTATCTGAGCTAGATTACTCCTCTTGCATCTTCCATACATAGCACACTTGTTAAGTGATCAAACTTAGTTTTTCCTATGGAGAGAGGAAGAAAAAAAAAAAAAGAATTTCTCAGCCTCAGGTCCTACAGAAAGAGAAAGAAATTGTAGTTTAATCAGACACTGAAAATCAAGATGGTAAGATGGGAAACTAAAAGTCTGGGAGGAAAAAAAAAACAAAAACCTGTGGGATTACAAAGTTAAGTGCAAAATGGAATCCAGAGTTAATCCTCCATGGCAACAACTTTCCTAATTATCTGAAAAAAGAAAGTGTGTCACAAAAATACAGGGAAAAGAGCAAGGGGAGAGTTGTGTGGATTTATTTGAATATATAAGCATAAGCAGGGAAGCAAAAAAAAAAATCACAAGACAAGGATACCTGCTTTGAAGTGCTTTTATTCCCACTGGGAATAAAATTTATCCCCTGGAAGTTCTAGCAAGAGCAAATAGGTAAGAAAAAGAAAGTTAAGGTACCCAGACTGAAAAGGAAGATGTGAAATTATTTTTGTTCATATGGTCTTACATGTAGAAAACTGTTATATTTACACTCTGTCAGAACTGATAAATTCAGCAAAGTTGCAGGATAAAAAATCATGCAAAAACTGGTAGAAAGAAAAACCAGTTGCATATCTATATACTATCAAGGAATGATCCAAAAACAATTCTATTAAAAATAGAATTGTTTTTGGATCATTCCTTAAACAGAATAAAATACATAGGAATAAATTTAACCAAGGAAGCATAAAATTTGTACACTGAAAACTAGAAAACAGTGCTGAAAGAAATTAAAGACACCACTAGATAATTGCTTAGGAATATGTAAATATATCAGATGACCACCTCGCACATCTTAAACTTACACAATATGACAATTATGTCTCATAAAGCTGGGAGGGAAAAGACGACACCAATAAATTGAAAGACATCTCATATTGATGACTAGAAGTCTTAACATTGTTAAGATAGTACTACTCAAACCAATATATGTAGTTTCAGTGTAATCTCTTTCAAAACTCAGATGGGTTTTAGTTTTTACAGATGGAAAGACCTAACTCAAGATTCATGTGGAATTTAAAGGAACCCTGATTTAAAAAAAAAAAAAAAATTAAAGAACAACAGAGTTAAGACTTGGGATTCTTTATTTTAATGCTTACTACAAAGCTACAAGAATAAAAACAGTGCACCACTGTCATAAGGATAGCTATATAGTCTAATAGAAAATATTGGAAGCTTAGAAGAACCCTCATATCTATGATCAACTGTTTTCTGAACGGGGTGTCAAGACCACTCAATGGGGAAAGAACAATCTCTTCAACAAATGGTGCTAGGAAATCGAAATATCCATATTCAAAATAGTGAACTTCAAACCTTACTTTACTCAAAATAGTTCAAACCTAAATTTAAGAGTTAAACTAGAAAATTCCTAGAAGAAAACATAAGAGCAAATCTTATGACTGAATTCAGCAATTTTTCCTAAATATAGCACCAAAAGCACAGCCAAAGGAGTAAAAAATAGGTAAGTCCTTCTGTTTGCATCAAAGGACACTAGCCAGAGAGTGAAAAGACAACCCACAGAATGGGAGAAAATATATGCAAATGGCATGTCTTAACTATTAATGGTTTAATATCTAAAACACATAAAGAACCCATAGCCACAAAAAGACAACCCAGTTAAAAAATGTGCAAAGACTTAAGTAGACATTTTTCCGAAGAAGATATTCAAGAAGCCAATATGCACACAAAAATATACTCAACATCATTAGGAAGAAGCAATCAAACAACGAGAGGACATTTTACACCTATGAATATGGCTACACTTTGAGAAAATGGAAAAGAGCATGTGTTGGTGATTTAAAAAACTGAACCAACATGGTGGGAATGTATAATGGTACTGCCACTGTGGAAAACACTATGGGGGCACCTCAATCAGGTGAATATATAATTACCACTGACTCAGATATCCACTCTCAGGTTATATTTTCCAAAGGATTGAGAACAGGGACTTAGATACTTGTACGTAAGTGTTCATAGCAGCATTATTCACAATAGTCAAAGGTGGAAACAACTCAAGTATCCATCATCAAGTGAACGGATTAACAAAATGCATTATGCAGTGGATGACTCAGCCATACCATAGTATGAAGTCTGGTAACATGTCACAATACGGATGCATCTTGATGCATTATGCTGAGTAAAATAAGTTACACACAAAAGCATAGATATTAAGATTCCATTTATAAGAAATATCTAAAATATACAAATTCATAGATAGAAATTGACTGGAGGCTACCAAGTGCTAGAGGTAAGGGAGAAGAGGGTTATTTCTTAAAGGGTACAGAGTTTCTGTTTGGGGTGATGAAATCTTTTGGAAAGAGATAATGTTGCTAATTACAGAGATCTGTGAATGCCACTCAATTATACAATTAAACATAAATCTATGTTGATTTTATTAAATTACTTTTTGTATATTTGAGATGATCACATGGATTTTTGCCTTCTTCTGCTAAATATGTTAGCTAATATCTAAATATTCTGATACTAAATGAGACTTTCATTTCTTAATCTTTTTGTAATGACACCCCATGTTTTATACATGCTAGATTTGAATTTACCAATAATTTACCTAGGATTTTTGCCAGTATGTTTATAAGTAATACTGGCCTGTAATTTCCTTTTCTTTTACTACTCTTGTCTCTTTTGGTATCAAGTGTACAAGCCTTATAAAATCCACTAAGTAGTCTTTGTTTTCTATCCTCTAGGCAATTTTGCATAAAATAAAGGTTGTTTTCTAAGCTTGTATAAACTCACCTTTAAATTGTGCCTGCTGCCTTTTGGGCACCTGGATATAATGCAAAAATTTTTAGTAATTCAGTTATTTTAATACTATTTATCCAGATTTTCAGAGTCAATTTTGGTAATTTTTCTAGAATACGGTCTATTTCATCTGTTTTAAATTAAAATATTGGGGCACCTGGTTGGCTCAGTGGGTTAAAGCCTCTGTCTTCGGCTCAGGTCATGATCCCAGGGTTCTGGGATAAAGCCCCACATCGGGCTCTCTGCTTAGCAGGAAGCCTGCTTCCTCCTCTCTCTCTCTCTCTCTGCCTGCCTCTCTGCCTACTTGTGATCTCTGTCTGTCAAATAAATAAATAAAATCTTTAAAAAAAATTAAAATACTAACAATAATTCACTTAAGATTTTTTAAATCTCTGCCATATTTGTACTTATATTTTCATTTTCACTCTCAATATGTTCACTTGTACTTTTTCTTCATCAGTCTTACCAGAAGTTTATTTTACTAATTTTTTTCAAATTCAGCTTCCATTTTGTTGCTCATTCTATTTCTTAACTTGTATTAGTACAAGCTGTATTAGTACGCTTGTATTAGTCTCTTTTGTGTACTGTCTTATTTTTCTAGTTTTTTGAGTTACATGTTTAACTTATTGTTCTTTTTGTTTTCCAGTAAGTGCTTTTAAAGCGACATATTTTCCTTCTGTGTAATTATTCCGCTGCATTCTACAAGCATCTTACTCTATGTACATACTAACA